CTGACAGCAATTTGGCAATGTCTACTGGTGCCATGGGCAGCAAAGGCCGTTCTTTTATTTCCCAGATCAAGCAGGTATTGATTTTTTACTCATTATAGAAGAGCATAAAAAGAGAAGGGATTCCTGCCAGGTTGCCAGGAATAACATGGAAACGAGACCTGAAAGTGAACACAGACAAAAGTGCAACTCAACGCCAGAATTTAACCTTAAAACATTAAAATCTAACAATACTTTTCAAATACAAAGACAAAGACAAAGACCCGCTAGAACTGCAATACAAAAAGCATTCCAAAGAAGCTGCTGTGAAATGAGCATCATCTGAATGACAACAATGGAGGGCACCCTTAGGGTAGGCATAAAATAAGTATTTATTTCTCTATAACTGCAATACTATTATCTGTTTTCAGGAAGCCGTATGTGGCTTATGGGAAGAGCATAAACCACTTCCTGGGAAAAGATTGGAGAATTAAAAAAAGAAAAAAAACTGTTTAAGCATTAAACCCAGAGCGTTTTTTAAGAATCTCATCAAAACCATTTTCAAAGTGATCCTGTTTTTATGTTAAAGTCAAAGAACACAATTATCTAAACTCTCCATTTTGCCAGCATTAGATTGCTTCATCATTAGATTAAAATATGTAGATCTCAAGTCGGAGCTTTCCTGCAGAGCCTAAAAGCAATTCATTTTGAAAATGCATCTCTGTTGTTCACTCATGCTTATACTTAGGACTGTATTGAATTATGGTCATCATCATGTATAGTGCATTATTTTCAGCACAGATCAAGTGCAGTGGCCGTGCACGGGGGACGTACGAATGTCGAAAAGGCACAAGCAGAGGTTTTCCTGCCTGCACTTGTTTACCACTTCCCTGACCTTGCCTTGGTATTCATGGTCCCAGCATGTGCAGTACATTGCAAGCTCCAATTTGAGCGTAGTTTTACACGTTTCCAAACCGCCATCCATTCGGAAGGAGGCAGGCTATCTTGCACAACTAGCGCTGGGGTCTTACGGAACATAAATAAATGCTAATAGTGTGGAAGGCCAGTCGATCCTCTAATTTGGTCCCAATTGACATTTCTCAATTATTAGATAAATAGCTATTATATTCTATACAGACTTCTATGGTCCCCTGAGGATAGATCATAACGAACCTAATACTAACATGCTTCACCCTAAGGTTCACATTGTTGCCTTTAAGTTAAATATCTCAACTATTGGATGGGTTAGCGTAAAATGTGGTTCACACAACACCTCCACATACATGAGTCTGTTTTTGTAGTTAGTGCTCAAAGGCTCAAATCATTAAACTTTTATTTAGTCAAACAACCGAAGTGTTGTAAGAATAAAGTATTTTTCTGTAACTAATGTGACATTCAAATGCATAATTCACTAGTATCTGTCTTCACACTGTGCCCCTGCCAATGAATGATTGACATCTATGCACTATGGAGTGCATTTATATTCAATGCATCAGGAGGCATCTCACAGCCACAGCTAAACAGTGCCTCAGTGGGCCCCACAAAGAACCCTTTCTCGCTTTGAAATATGAGCAACAAATAAATCATCTGTTTAATTAATTAAGCAAATTAGGCAAATCCGGAGACGCCTTCTCGGATGGAGTTGGTGCCCCGGCACAAGGAGATTAATTAAGTGGATCCGCGCGAGAGCAGTGAGAGCGACGTTGGCGTTACCATAGAGTCAGCTATCCGTAGTATGTTGGTGCAGATATGGAGCAACAGGGGGGGTTTGTTAGGTGCTTGTTGGCTTTACATTTTTTACTTTTACATTGTGTCCATTTTCACCTTCATGAACGAAAGACATAGAAAAACAAAAGAAAGATTGATGTTTTACTTATTCTCTCTACTCTCTGCGCTACTTTTACCGAGTCACCACTTACCTGTCATTTTCCTGAACCGCAGACACCTATATGCTGAACAGATGCATCGGGTAAACGGCTCCCTTGCCGTCTCACCCATCCCTCAATACCCCCCCCCCCCCCGCCTCCCCCCACCACCCCCTCCCTCCACAGGACGATATCTGCTTCCAGGCTTGATGTATGCACCAGTATCTGACCATGAAAAATATGTGTCAGACTTTACGCTTTCATCTCTCGGATTGGCCCACGAGCCGTCATCCATTATACCCGCCGTGTCTCAGATTCCACGCGTTGGTATAAGTGGAAAGAATAGAAAATCCTTTCTGCGGCGTTTTGCATGCACAGAAACACATGATTAATGTGCTGCTCAGGCATGGCCAGAGTGTTTGGGACGGAACATTTGCATTATTATTCACCGGAACAAAAAACAATGACAAGTGTGCGTTTTACTTATTTTTCAACCCAGTGACAGCATTTGTGATAGAACTTTGATATTAATCTTGCCAGACTTTGTCACTATGGATGAAAACCCATGCGCGCGCGCACACACACACACACACACACACACACATTTGGATCACACGCAAGCCGAGACACTGCCGCACACACACACACACTAGCAAAAGCCGCATCTCCACCCACTCACAGCCACAAATCCCCACCTTCCCCTTTGTAAGCGCCATTCTATCATTGACATTGTTTTATCACGCTTGTCCATAAATATTCCTAATTTTCCCCAGACGATTGTAAAGTGTCAGACAGCCGGTTACGTGTTGACGGACACATCAAGACGGGGAAGGAAAAAGCGCCTTTTTAAACACGCATGCTTTGCTTCTTCCGTGAAAACACGGCATGTGCGTCAGAAAAAAAGAAAAATAAGTGATTTGATTCTATTCATATGAACACGTGTGTGCATGCCTGTGCCTGATTTGATATTTGGGGACTGTAGATCGCAAAGTAGGCCAGCATCCCCCGCAGTACGCGTTGCCAACACACTAAGGCGGAAACACGCACAATGACATGGTGGCAAATACTCCCACAAAAGCTTCTCCGGCTGCAGAACAATTCACTGGCAACATCTGGATGTGTCTGCTTACGGCAGCGGGTTTTGGGTATTATGTTATTTATTTGTCTTAGTAAAAGTGCCAAACGATTTACTTTGGATGTCAACAACTTCATCTGCTGTTCCTTCAGGACGAAGCACCAAAAACACATAGTGACCAAATGCTGTCAGCTGCATGTCCCATGTTCCTATGGGACCAATGCGTGATTGATTGTTGTGTATGAGTAACAGAGCAGAATGATTGATTTACAGGACTGCACAGGTGTTTTGGAACGTTTGAGCCGATTCATGACAAATCATGCGCGCTTGATTTGCTGCCTATCATTTTTCCAAACAGTTCACATTGCTTTTACGATTGATGAATGCTTTTTTCCCCCTACCGTTCATACCATAAAGACATGAACTCAAAGCAATGACATATGTGAGGGGAGGCAAATACTATCACCAATCCACAGGACTATGTATGCTTTGAAAAAGTTGCATACATTTGAAGTAAAAACTGGAAATGTTGAAAAACACTTTTAAAGCACAGCAGAGTAAGATTACATACAATTCCAACAAACTGCTGATCCTGTGCAGAGCAGTCAAAATAACACTGCTTTCTCATAATCTATATAAAACGTTCTTTGAGAGAGTGTACTTGCATTATTAGGCTATTATATTGTCATCAGTGGCATAAAACGGTCTGAAAATTTAGTTTATTGCTATTCATTTTGGTGCAATAATCCCACATCAAAAAGTAGTTATTGTGACAGCCCTAGTTTTAGCTTGCAATGTCCTGCACCTCACATTGCACCCGTAAATAACCCAGCTGTAACGTGTCCATGGTGAACCGCCGCGCATCAATCCACTGTGACACTTCCTAATTGGTCGAGGTTGACGTCCTACAGATGGACCATTGATGCTACTTGTCCGATGGTGTTTAAGGACAATACATTTCTGGTCAGAAGACAGTGTACACACTTTTTTTAGGGCGACCGGACAGCTAAAGCTCAACAGTTTTGTAGTTACTTCTTATCAAAGTGTATTTTAACCTACATTTGTCATGGTCGGTCTTAGTGGGCGCTAAGAGGTCTCACACTAATCCGCTGCCACACAACGTCTCAACCTCTGGTCAAGGAAGCGCTCTAAAGACATACGCATGACGCATTGCCGTCCCCCTATTGAGCATTAAGGCAAAACTAACGATGCCGGAGAGCGTGTTGTCATTAGTGCTTGATGTTGAACCCCGCCGTCTCCGCCCTGCTCCAATATCGCGGCGTAAAAACGATTTAATTAGCTTGAAATCACCCATTAATGGTTTTAGCCGTATCCAATTAACACTGCTACGGGCTATTGCCCCACTCCCAACACTCCTACATCTACACCCTACTTGATTGTGACCAGTGGCTCCACACCCACAAACCACCGACGACGATATCTTTTAATCGGAATCTAAATGACTTCATTTAGTTTGCCTCTAACACAACTCAAAGCAGACCAAAGGGAAATGCTGCAGAACCATAGCGGGCCGCCGGTTACCGAGCTGTGGGAAAAGAGTCCTCACAACTTGATCTGGAGATCTTAATGCGTGAAATGATAAAAGAAGTCATTTTGGTTTTTCCCTCCTGCAATTCTCTCTCTACTCAAGATGCGCCACAAAGCCAAAGCGCTGCTAATGATTCTTTGAAAGCAATCTTGGTTCATTTCCTATTGCCAAGAGAGCAGGAGACTGAGACAGGAGGAAGAGGGACGGATCTAAAAATAGATAGAAAGTCAAGAGAAAGGAAGAGAACGCCAATAAGAAATGTGAAGAAAAAAAAAGTTCCCGGGTTCCAGTTTCAGGAGCAAAAAAACCCTGCTAATTAGCGAGAGGAGACACAGGCGCCAAAATTGGGACAGACATAAGTCCAAGGGCTTTTTTTTCTCAGAATCTGGCCCTTAAATAGCAAAAGGAAGAAATTCTGGCTTCAAATCATGCCAGTCACAAAATGCAATGCTATCTTTTTTTTTGTTGTTTTTTTTTCTCCACACATCTGCTGCGCGCAGACACAAACACAGAGGCTCTAATGAGCCAAACTCACCGAGAGCGGCTGGTGCGAAGAGGCTGGCGAAGACTAGCAGGCGTGCGGTCCACATGGCCTCCTCCTCTTACCGCCCGCTGCCGACGGTCCCAGTTGAGTTCAGTCTTTTGCCTCCTTTATGGCGCGGCTGCATCCACTGTGAGGCCGGTTGCTCTGGTGCCAGAAGCTGTCCAAAATCTGAGAGCGGAAAAAAAAAGAAAAAGTAAAAACATACATGTTAGCCTTCAAATGACCTCAAATGTGTTCATTTATAGGCGCAACTTGTCTTTTACAGTACGAGAACACAACAGATGGACGCACCATGGCGTCATCATCCTTGCACGCGCTGCCCTCATGGCGTCGTGTGCTTCAAGTTGTCATCAAGTGACATGTTGCGAGTTGCTCAATCGCCCTTCAGCTGAACTCATCCGGGGTGAGATCAGACAAACGCTAAGCAAGGAATGTGTCTGTGTAGATTCTGTTGTCTGCTCAGTCAAATGTGTCAACTCGCCCATCTCCCCGACAACTGACTCGCGAGGAGAGACAGGGCTTCATCTGGGCGTGAGCCGTGACTGCGCGGCTTGAGCTTTATGCACCTGTGAATGCATCTGCACGGCCCAAAACAACGAGGACTGTGCACGCAGGCCTCAGTCCAAAAACACAGGACAACTAAATGGCTAAGAGGATTTACTCTGAGGAGCTGATTGAGCCCGAGCTTCCCTACACCTCCTCTCAGCTCTTGCGAGTGGCACTGGATGAAGTCATCCCGAAGCTCTCGCCGGGCTAACATCAGATGCGTCGAATGAGCACCAATGTGATGGATGTGAGATTAGCACTTGCCGACGTGCATGTGTCAATATTCACAAAAACAGTGTGTGAAAATGTGCGACTCTGCATCTTGGGTGAAAATTATAAACAGCGATGGATGAGGATAAATTGGGTTTAAGCTATATTCGGATGACATTCTCCAAAGGGGATCATCCCCATATCATGATATTAAGGTTAAGTCAGCTTTAATGATTAGGTAATCCAAACCCCTTGATTATCCACCATCAACCGTGATCTCTTGCCGAAATCTAATCTACGCGAAACGCTAAAGCCAAATAGTGCGCACAATGCCGCCGTCCTCCACCCGAGCATTACCCTCGCTCATCAGGCGTTCTGTAATGCATTCTGCATAGTGGGGAGTTAATCCCGGTTTAGGACGTCAGAAAGGCCGGATACAGAAGGCTGAAGACCTGAGCACCGCCTCAAGGGACAAGGAACTAGAAAGGCCAATTTTAAATACACCTCAAACCTCCTATCAGACATTGCATCCCTTCACAGAGCTATGCTTCCCATGTCACAGTCACATGTACCCTCCTCAAAATCTAGTTCTTAATGCCCATTCAGAAATCCTAGATTAGAGCAATCAGATTTTTGGGAGCAGATATTATTGGGTTTAAGAGAAGGGAAGCAAGCCTTTTTCTGCAGCAGAACATTTGGGCAATATTAAGGGGTCAACAGTCAGTGTTATCAGCAATGTCTTGGCAGAAGACCATGAGTGAACAAAATGACAATCACATCTGCTCTTGTTGACTTCATTCAGTGTGTATGTGTGTATATATATATATATATATATATTTATTAAATTTTTCTTTGAAACACTAAAAGGGCAGTTTTAAAGAGCATTTGATCAAAGAAATATCCTTGTGAGTAAACCGCTCTTTTAACAAAACACTGACAGCTACATGAGAGCTGAATGACATCAAAATCAGATGCACTGACTCCCACGACAAACAAGAAATACATTATGGCAGGAATAATCATATTTGAATAAACTGTCCAAGCGACAAATTAGAATTAGTTTTTTCTCTATGAAAATGTCTAACTTGTAGATAAGGACCCAAAGGGATGCACAGGCAACATGTTGAAAATAAATATTAGACATGACAGCCTGTCACAGGCTACATTGTTTGCCTGTTGGCAGATTGTTTTAAAAGATTAAATTTAGTCTTTTCAGGTTTGCACCCAAAGTGTAAAAAAGGAGCAGCGATGGAGGCCGTTTCCGTTGCAGAAGACAATGAGTGTGTGTAGCGCCGTCTGCAAGTATCTGTGTTAGTGAGACTGAATGCGCCATATCTCACAGTTTAACCGATAAAACTACACTACAGGTGTTACTTAGAAATTATAACATTAAATGAAAAACACTTCACTATCACAGTCATTAATTTGCTCTAACAGAAAGAAAAAAAAACTACTTGTACTAAGAACACAATAGAAACATCATAAAATAGATATTTATGAGAAGGGCTTGGACCCGGTTGAGAGAAAAAGTATTAAAAAAAAAAAGGTAAAGCATTTTTTTTTTAAAAAGACAAGACAGACGAAGCCGCAGTCCGGTATTGCCAACTGGTCGTGTATTCCAGAAGGAGCCGTGTGATACATTATGGTGCTGACGTTTCAAGGGTACTCACTCAGAGGGGATTCAGGATAACTCCGTTAGATAAGTCAGCCAACATTTAGCAGCTTGTTCTCAGCCACATCAAGGAGACTTCTTCGGTACTGTCTTGCTGTTTCCTGCACGACTTTTTCTAATCAGCGATGTTGTTGTTTTGGTTGCTTTGGTAATCATGCGTGTGCAAAGCGGCTCAGATGAAAACTGACAAATCTAATTAATGACTTTTTTTTTTTATCTAAATAAGGCCAAACGGAGCTGAGCGATATCTAGCAACAGCAATACTCGATGAGGGGTAAAATATGATGCCTCGCGGCTATCGGGCGTCTCGGAGAAAAAGACAAATGGGAGGCAAAGAGCGCTACGGGAGATGAAACCTACTACATTAGTTTGATTTAAGTTGGAGACTCAATTAAGGCTGCATTCAAGGGGCTTAGGACAAAAATGAGAGCAAAATTGCCAAAGAAAATGCAGTGGGACTTTTCTCACATGAACATGTCAATTCAAATGAATGCGCTCATTTGCATTCAATTTTGCAAACACCTGTAAAAAGGCGCGTCACCAGATTATTCACCACTGAACACCTGCCACCATCTTGACATTGATAACGCTGCCACGCTCCTCAAATATCCCCTCTTCCCGGTGGCCATATTGACATGAAATAGTAGGCAAACACCGGTTTAATTAATGAAAATAATTAAGATTCCGTCATTGGAGGGTAAACATGGGTGTATTTGATCACATTAATTACGGCCCAGTGCCTTTTTTCTGGGGCAGCGTACTGTGCATGCCGGCTCACGGGAGTGGCACACAAAATAGAACGGCACCGCAGTTCATTTGATAAGGGGGACGTGTGAAAATGGCTGCTGAGTAAAAGGCCCACACCCTGGCTGTTTGACCTGGAGGTAATTAGTATTCTCTTACCTGCTTATTTCATGTCAAAACGGCTGCTGTGAGGAAAGGGGTCTATTGGGGGAGAGTCAAATTTGTAACGTTCTAATTAGGCACAATGTGTGTGTCTGTACTTCTGTATCAATCACACAACACCTGGAATCAACGTTCCTCAGGAGGGCAAGCTGGAAACCTAAATACATTATTGTGAAAAACAAATGAAGAAAATCATCATATTCTGTATACATTGGCATTTGGTTTAATTACCTGTCACCACTACAGTGTAACTTCTCTCACACCATTTTTTAAGGGCCATTTCTTTCTGTATATTTTATAACTCTGGTCAGCCTTCTTGCTGTGAATTGTCTCTAGCTGCTGAATGAAAGACAGACTGCCAGAGGTAAAGGGCAGTATGCCCATTGTTTTACATTCTTTTTACATAAACTTTTCATATTTAAATACACAACTTCCAGTTTACATAGAGTCAGAGTCTCTCCACTGTGGTTGCTGCTCTGCCTCTAAGAGAACAAATTACATACAGTCCGAGATGAACGGCAGCTCATTTTAAATCTCATGGCTTTTGGAAGTACTATTTATTGTACTTTGTTTTGACGGTTTCCATCAACTTAAAATTCTATTAATCCCGATGGGGTTTGTTTTTTTCACTTTCCTCAGTTAACAGACGCATGTGACAATGTATTCTAATTGTAAACAAAATTGTATCTGTTCCATTCTAAATCTCATTCTTTAAAAACGTCAAATATATATATATATATTTATATCACAATAGAACACAGTAATATAAATATATAGCCACAAAGCAATCCTGCTTCTGTATATGTATCATTACAATCACAGATATCAACAGTAGATAAACTGATTATGATGCAAATGCTACAACAGAAGCGATACCAGTCACACTTCAAAAAAGGGCTATGCCTCATACGGAGGGCTGCAACTACTGATTACTTTCATTTTTGCAATCAATGATATATGACATTTGAGAATATACTGAGCCAGACCCACTTTAATTTACACTTCATCTTCAATCTTTAATCTAAAGTCAAAGAACAGAATCAAATACTGTCAATTACTGATACAGCTAAGCTTGCTCTAAAAGCTTCATTATACATACATGGCAAGACAGCCATCACACTGGGCCACTTTACCACCTCAGGGCATTCTCCATTTTTCTCTTACTGACCCGAGGAAAGATAATAGGATTTTAATTCATCCCAACACATTCCATACAACGCTTCTGCAACAAAGTGAAACGTGATCCTTGGTGTTATCTGATGGGGATGTATTAAGCAGGATGTTACCAGTCACGCCTGCTTTATGCCCCCCCACGTAACACTATGTAATGAAGTGGGATCTTGTTGCCGGGTTAAATACCATGTCTCCAATTTTCAACTGTTTCATGTCCAGATGCTTATCACACCAGTGAGGAGAGCTTGGTAATTTCTGTGAGACAGTGTGTTCATGCAAATGAAGTGTCACATAAAATGAATATTAATCCAGCACACTGTCTGCGTACCGTTTGATAGATGAGCACTCACTCAGAAATCGGAGACGAGCGCAGGTGATTAAAATCGAGACGATCCGGTCACTCTGGACCTAAAGTTTTGTTTTGGTCCCCCTGGTATGGCTTCCAAACCTTCCCGATGGTTTAGAATTGAGCTTGCTATGAAACCAAACACGGCAGAAATGTCCAAATCATAAGTTATAACACGAGTTGAAAGGTGTGAAAAACGGAAGGTAAATGGAGAGTGCCCTGAAGTCGCCGGGCCCTGGAAACTGACACCATGAGCAGCAAGGCATTCACTCGTACAATTGTTTTTTTTCCCACAAGGGACCCCAACACAGCTAG